TGGGAGGGGGAGTTGAAATGGTTCGCGACTGGGAGGTGCAGTTGTTTGTTGCGAACCGAGCATAAGTGTTCTGCAAAGCGGTCCCCGAGTCTCCGCTTGGTTTCCCCGATGTAGAGGAAGCCACACCGGGTACAGCGGATGCAGTATACCACATTGGCAGATGTGCAGGTGAACATCTGCTTGATGTGGAAAGTCTTCTTGGGGCCTGGGATGGGGGTGAGGGAGGAGGTATGGGGGCAGGTGTAGCACTTCCTGCGGTTGCAGGGAAAAGTGCCGGGTGTGGTGGAGCTGGAGGGGAGTGTGGAGCGGACAAGGGAGTCACGGAGAGAGTTGTCCCTCCGGAAAGCAGATAAAGGTGGGGAGGGAAAGATGTCTTTGGTGGTGGGGTCGGATTGCAGATGGCGGAAGTGTCGGAGGATGATGCGTTGGATCCGGAGGTTGGTGGGGTGGTACGTGAGGACGAGGGGGATTCTTTTTTGGTTTTTATTGCGTGGACGGGGTGTGAGGGATGAGGTGCGGGAGATGTGGGAGACACGGTTGAGGGCGTTCTCGACCACCGAGGAGGGGAAGTTACGGTCCTTGAAAAACGAGGACAACTGAGATGTACGGGAGTGGAATGCCTCATCCTGGGAGCAGATGCGGCGGAGGCGAAGGAATTGGGAATAGGGGATAGCATTTTTGCAGGAAGGTGGGTGGGAGGAGGAGTATTCTAGGTAGCTGTGGGAGTCGGTGGGCTTGAAATGAATATCGGTTTCGAGGTGGTTGCCCGATATGGAGACAGAGAGGTCCAGGAAGGGGAGAGAGGTGTTAGAGATGGTCCAGGTAAATTTAAGGTTGGGGTGGAAGGTGTTAGTGAAGTGTATGAACTGTTCGAGCTCCTCGTGGGAGCACGAGGCGGCACCGATACAGTCATCAATGTAACGGAGGAAGAGGTGGGGTTTAGGGCCGGTGTAGGTACGGAAGAGGGATTGTTCCACGTAACCTACAAAGAGGCAGGCGTAGCTTGGGCCCATGCGGGTACCCATGTTTGGGATATGGTTTGGAGCAGTGGAATGTATATTATAAACTGGAAGCAGGGTGCAGCTATGGAGAAACAGAAACTGTGTGTGTGGGAGTAAGTCTCTCTCTCCATTGTGGGTAAGCACTGGGTCAAGGAGCGAGGTGTTGCCAGTATAATACATGGCACAGCTCTGTCCCATAACCATGACCATCACACAAATCATTTTCTGCTTTATCTGGAGATCAAAAATGGAGAATCCACAGAGACTCAGGGCACACATCTCTAGACAAACTGCACCCAACAGTTGACTGCCATTTTTCTGTGTGATGAGGGTCAATGTGTCTTCTCTTGTTGCCAACAATCGAATTTTTCCCTCTAATGGTCCCCATTATCAGCTTTCCTTTCTCCCTGGCTCACCATTATCCCACTCTTTGTCGGGCCAACTGCTGTTTTTTTCTCTTTTCTCTATCTGGACTCCATCCTAACCTATTGTTTACTCTTCCACCTCCCCCACCAAAAGCGTACATACTACCTTTTCCGAGTTACATTCAGTTCTGAAGAAATAAACTCTGTGTCTATCTCCACAGACACTGCCGGACTTGCTGAGTTTCTGCGACACTTTCTGTTTTTGTTTTGGGTCCGAGAAACGCTCCGTTCATTTTGGACCAAACTGTTATCCCTGTCCCTCACAGAGAAGTTTAAGGTGCAGCCATTAGTTCCCAGTGAGCCCTGTCAGTGTGTGTGTCAGTGTGCAGGGAAGGGTATTAGTTCCCAGTGAGCTCTGTCAGTGTGTGTGTGTGTTTGTGTGTATGTGTGTGTGTCAGTGTGTAGGGAAGGGTATTAGTTCCCAGTGAGCCCTGTCTGTGTGTGTGTGTGTGTGTGTGTCAGTGTGTAGGGGAGTGTATTAGTTCGCAGTGAGCTCTGTCTGTGTGTGTGTGTGTGTGTGTGTCAGTGTGTAGGGGAGGGTATTAGTTCCCAGTGAGCCCTGTCAGTGTGTGTGTGTGTGTGTCAGTGTGTAGGGAAGGGTATTAGTTCTCAGTGAGCTCTGTCAATGTGTGTGTGTGTGTGTGTGTGTGTGTGTGCGTGTGCGTGTGTGTGTGCGTCAGTGTGTAGGGGAGGGTATTAGTTCCCAGTGAGCTCTGTCAGT